TTTTCATCCCTCAAGGGATGCTCAATAGCTCCGAATCCTTCAGAACAGGTAAACGATGGGACCAAAGCAGGTTGCCTCTCTGCTAGAAAATAAACATTAAAACACAAACCAAGACAACAGCGAAGAGTCACAAAGAATTCCTCAGTTATTAGCAAAACAAATTCCCTTAAGTCCTTATTAGGAGTATCATGAGGGTGGTTTGAAGAGGAAAGTCGAACCAAATTAAAGAAAAGATGGCTTATCCAACAAAAAACAAATGCTCAGCGCTCGCCAAAAGCAAAAGAATTCAGTCTGATAAGAAGTGTGACATACAAACGATGCAGGTTAAAAACTAAATTTAAGATGATAATAGAATAGCTGCCAGCTTCTTTAAATTTTCAGCAGGGTAATGTCAACAGAGACAAAGAAATTCAGGGAAAAACAAAGAGAACAGATTAAGGATTTATTCATATGACTGAAAGAGCTCTGTGTTGCTTGCCTCAGAAATGGCTGAGGCCTGCAAACCCCCAAAGGTCCCGGAATGGCTGAAGCCCACCCCAGAGCCAGCCGTGAAGCCACAGGTAGCAATGGCACAGTGTGAGGAGTGGGATACACCCAGCACATGGGAGAGAACAGCAGCAGGACCTCAGGACTGGGTCAACTCCTCAGCTGGAGAGCAGCAAAGATGATGCAGCAGATGTCCTGCTGCTGGGATGAGCGTGTGTTCAAACAGCAGACTGTGGCCATACAGCACAGCCCCGACCTGCCCAGGAGAGCGGATGGCCAAAGGAAAACCTGGTAACCCTGCTTTGCTGAGGGCATTACTGCTAGTTCTGCTCAGTGCCTCACGGCTCCAGAAGGAAGCCCTGCTCCGCCTCACGTCACCAGAAGCTCTCCTGGGCTCTGACGTTTAGCAGTGTGGCTTGTGCAGAAAATAAGTTGGTCCCCCGGGAGCTGTGATGCATCTGTGCTGCTGCCTCTCCTTTCACATGTGCATCTGCGGCACTCCGACCTCCTTTTGGGCTTCAAGGAAATGTTCATGGGTTTCTCACAGTTTTTGTCCACATCTCAGCGCAGAATTGAACTGTTTGCTCCTCTTCTATCAGCTGGTTGCTTTGTTTGTTGCTCTGTTTGTTCCTTCCTGAAGATGGCTGGTGAGAATCCTTCTGAGAGCACCAAGGCTATTAAACACCCTGCCTAATTATTAATACTTCTCTCTCTTCCTAATGCAGGGTGTCTTAAGCTCCTCATGCTCTGGGGCTGAAAATCTCCCAGGTGGTCTTTTAAATAAAAGAGAAACCGTTTAAACAGCTTTCCTTCTAAGAAACACTCACACTCATCCCTGTCCTAGAGGCTGAGGATAACAGAGCCGCTAAGGACGATGTGTCTGCAAAGTACAGAATGAGCAAAGGGAAGGAGGAAAGATGCCACCATTCGGGAAAAGGAGCAATTGAGGAGCAAAGTATATGCAACCATTTCTTGGTATGTTCTCCTCCAGCTGGAAATTGTTCACTGAAATAGTTTTTCTTCACTCATCTTAGTGAAATAAGGTCTTTTTTTGAAGAGACATCATGAACGAAAGAACTACTGAAATCTGAGTATGGCAGACAAAGTAGCAAGCACCATTTTCCCAGCTGTCTTGGTCTACCAAAACACAGCCTCTCCTGACAGCACCATCTTGCTGAAGACCAAAACTGCCAGCTGCCCTGAGCACCACGGCCTGGGATGGTGCACAGAGGAAAACCGTGCAGTACGAGAGCTGGGAGATGCCCAAGCCCCAGCCTAGAGGGGCTGCTGGGAACCCCACCTCCAAGAAAGCTCCCATTCTTTCTGCAACCCCTACAACAGTGCAGTAAAGTCGAGACCATCCATCCCCTCACAGCCCCAGCAGCTCTGGGATTTACCCCTGCTTTGGGCATGGAGCACAGCTACATCTGCTCTGCAAGCGGGCTCCCTGGCTGGTGACAGCCCTCGTGCAGACGGGGCTGAGCTTCCAGTTGGCTCCATTCCCTCCGCAAACAGATGCAATTCCAATACCAGGGTCTGATTTATTCAGCAGGAGTCTCGCACATTAAGTGTAGTTAAGTCTGAAAACAAATCTAATGACTTTAAAATAAATAGCCAACAGAGGACGTGAAACTAAAATTCTTCCTTCCTCTGACACCCACCATATAAACAGTAATAATTATATAAAACGTGTCTAACACATGACTACACAAGGCTCTGGTGACCAAGAAAAGCACGCGCTGCTTGTCAGACATAATTGCACATTTGGTTTTTCAATTATTTCTTGTCAAGATCCAGAGCCCACCATCTGAACGCTGACATTAATTACTGGTAAGTAGTTTGTTTCACACTGGTGTTATGGAGATTCCCAGCAATTACCCCCAGGTCTGCATCCCCAGCGCTGCTCCACGCTGCCTGCCTTCCTGCGAGCCCTAACGCTGGCACACGGGGCTCCAAACTGCTCCACCTCGTACAGACGGGGCCTTGAAGGCTCCAGGAACTTTCCAGAGACAGCAGTGGGATATCTGAGCCCCAGGAGACAGCCCTGCTCCAATAGAGCCCACATCACACACAGATGGCATCGTCCAGTTGGGTTCCTTCTGAGCCCCTCTGCTCAGCTTTTGGCTCTATGCTCCCACAGCTCCAGTTGCCCATCACACAAGCCAGAAAAAAAAAAAAAAAAAAGCTTTCTTGTTACTGGCTTTTAATTTCCTACCTTTTAATCTTGTTGACTGACTCTTTGCTTGCAAAAGGAGAAAGAAGTCTGTGATCTACCTTCTCCAGAGCACTCAATAACACGCACAGCTTTGTCATGTTCTCTTTTAGTTGTCATCTTCTCCAAGGCAAACAGTCATCTCTCCTTTCACTCCCTTGAAAGAAGAGTTTTTTTCTGTGCTCCTAATAATTCTCCTTGGTTTTTACAGTACGCCATTAATAAGCACACAGTGAGGTATGGGATCCACACACCACTTAATAAGGTAGGAAACAGAGTTCTTTCAGCCACCACCAATTCTCAGCTGAAAACAGCTGCATGCTGAACCAATGTTATTTCAAAGGCAGCAGCCAGGCCCGATCAGAGCTGCAGAGGTGATAAGATCAGAAAAATTCTGTGCCTTCAGAGCTTTTAACATTTACTTGAAACAGAATAAAATCAATTCGCTGTGATAAATAAATAAAAATAGGAGCGACCCAATACTGTGGTCACCACATTAAGATGGAGCTACTAAACAGCTAGTAAAAAAATACCAACAGAAAAAAAAGGGTAAAGTTGTCCTGGAAACCTTATTTTGCTTACACTTCTTACTGATATAAATTAACAGTTAAAAGCTTACATGATAGCTTGCAATTAACGAGACACATTCAAGCAGGAACAACTTTGAAAAACAACCACCTTGCATCGCCAGCCCTAACGGTTTAATGCCATCAAAACCAAATTTCAACGTTCAGCCACTGGCACAGCTTTCCTTTAAACTTGAAGATTTTGCTATTTTGCTTTTTGTGACCATCCTTTGTTCAGGTAGGAAGATGCTGAAGCGGATTTAGTTTCCAAGCTCCTTAGCAATTCCTGGTTTTCCTTCCAGCGCTTTGTTCAAGCCATCCTGAGTGCGAGCACCAGTGGTTCTCTCTAATGAGCCTCCCAAACCTGGGAAAACCTCGATTTTCTTCTGAATGAGAAGAATGCTGGCACTGCCAAAATCCACCCACGGAGCCCTGTTCATTGGGTGCCCCAGAGGTGCCCA